GGGGCCATAGATCCCCTGGGAAAGGGGGGGACGCCGGTCCCGTGCCACGGGCTGTCCGCGCCCTGTAACAGCTTGCACAGAGGCTGTGGGCTCACGGGGAGGGGGAGGCAGAGGGCTGGTTTCCATGTTAAACGAGCAATCAAGGGCAGGAATTTGCTGACATGGCGTTCTGTCTGAATCGTTGGATTAATCACAGCTCACCACCGCGAGCGAGCTCCCTGGCCGTGCTCCTCCGCCAGCCCTGTGCAGCCCCTGTGCTGGGCAGGGACCGAACCCAGCCTGAGCTCCAGGAGCCCCGGTAACCCCTGCGCTGCCTGCCCGGGGTGCCCAGGGAGACGCGCTCTGCCTCCCAGCCTCCGCAGGGAGCAGCAGGGATCTCCCTGCGCACACCCCATCATCAGAGGCTCCGAGCGAGGCCAGGCTCAACAAGTGCTGTGCCGGTTTCTGGGCCAGCTCGCAGGTTCCCTGCTGTCTCCGTGCGGTGTCCGCGTGGGCTGCGGCCTTGTGGCAGGGGCCACAGCTTTTCTTACTCTCAGACGCTGCCATTGGGAGCAGCGTTGGTCGTGCCTCGGCCTGGCCCTGCTGCAGAACGTCTGCTGGGGGCTGAGCTGGGGCTGACCCCTTCTCTCCTTCCCTCTCCCCCAGGGTCTCCTCTCCCAGAGTTGCAGGAGCAGTTCAGCCCTCCAGAGATTGCGCCGCCGCTGATGGTGAAGCTGGTGGAAGCTATTGAGAAGAAAGGTAAGGGGGGGACACTGAGCACCACGGGGCTGATACCCCCCCAAAACCCCCCAACGAGGGCAGAGGGGGAGGCAGCTGTCTTTAAAAGCTGTTGGTGTTGGACCCAGCTCCATGGGACGTGCAGGACGCAGCTGCCTGCAGAAGAGGGGGGCCTCACGCTCCTCCCTGGCTTGAGTTGCTGTTCCCCAGGGCCAGGCTTGACCCCGCTGTGTCATCCTGTGCAGAGGCCTGGGGTGAGGGCACTGGGTCTGCATGCAGGACGCCTACGTGCCCCGGGTGGGTGCTGGGGTTTGGGAAGTGCTTTCAGCCCAGATCTGTGCTGTGGGGGAGAAATGGGGCCACCGATTCAGGTGTCCTGGGGGCTAAGGGGGCTGCAGCAGCATCTGCAGGTTGGCTTAGAACCCTTCCAGGCCTGGTTAGCCGTGCCGCAGCCGTTGCCCGGCCGGTGCACGGCTGCCAGGCTGGCACCGAAATGGTGTGTGCGCTGGGAGCTGCGCGGCTCACAGCTAACAGCAGTGTCCCCGCTTCCGCAGGGTTAGACAGCGAGATGTTGTACAGGACATCTGGCTCCGAACTGAGGCAGGCGCTGAGAACCGGTAAGAACCAGCTCCGCGTGGTGAGGAGGCGAATCGGCTCAGATGGAGGAGATTAGTGGATGTGACAGCGCCAGCAGTAATGCAATCCAGGCCAGGCTCGCCTGTCCCCGGCAGTTCCTGACTCCCGGCACGCTGCCTGTGGGGCTGGGCCGTCCCCGTCCCGACACGTTCCCCTCTCGCGTGGAAGGGACAGGAGAGGTGGGGATTCCTGCCACCATCCGTGGGCTGGAGCAAAGGGATGCAGTGCCGGCTTGGAGAATCACAGGCTGACAAATGAACCCCTGCGCTTGTCTCTTCGGGGTGCCCCGTTCTCAGGGTGCTCTGTCGATGGGCTGGCGGAGGCTTCTCTGGCTCTGTCACACCGCTAATAAGCAGGGGAGGATCTTTCAGCTCAGCTTGGTGGCCGGAGCCTTGGCTCCGCTGTGCCGACAGCTGATGTCTCTGCCGGGGAGCCTTCGGAACTGTCTGCCTCTCGTCTGGGTTTGGGCCTCATCCAGCACCGCGCTGGCTTGTCCCCTTCCACAGACGTTCTTGCAAACCCCAACTACGCGGTGCCGTCAGCTCTGGCCGCGCTGCTTTCGGGACAGGCTTTATGTGCCGTCCCGACAACCTACGCCTTGCATTCGTGGGACGACATGGTTCGAGGGAGACGTTTTCCCCGTTGGGTTCAGTGTGTGGCTGGTCAGTCTGCACTTGTCTCTACCAGCAGCAGGGAACAAGATTGTGACACGAGTCATGCGTGCCCAGGATTCCTGTGGCAGGGCTCAGGGAAAAGGGTGTGGGCACCCAAAATGACCTCTACCCCCTTCCAGGGGGGACCTGCCTGGGTTTCCAGAGCCAGCTTATTTCTGGGATGCAGTGGGCACTTCCAGGCATCCTCCCTCGTGCAGGCTGCTCAGCTGCCTGAGGCTGCCTGAGCTCCCTCGTGGTGCCGGGCTGCCATGTCCCATGATAGCTGGCCAGGTGCTGCGCGATGGTCTCTGGGTGCCCAGTGCTGTGCCCACCATCCAGGGAAATCTGTGTCCTGGCAGATTGGACCCTGGGTGACCTGGAGCCCTTCGACGTGCACTCCCTGGGCGAGGCGCTGCGAGGCTACCTGCAGGACCTGCCCTCCCCCGTGGTGCCGGTGTCCGTGCACGGAGACATCCTTCGCGTCCTGCAGGGTAAGGGCTTCCCCTGGCTGCACTCGGGAATGGGTGGCTGGGCGGGACAGACGCGTTTGGGGTCTTAAAATAAGACCTGTCCCTATGGGGTCTGGCACGTGGCCCCTGCTGCCGACAGCGCTCC